TCTCTCTTTCTCTCTCTCCCTTCCTCCTCTCCCGGCCCCCACCTCTCTTTCTCTGCCCCCTCTCTCCTATCTTATATCGTTCATAAAATAAGACCAAAGGGCCTCAAAATGGCTAATTATGTGCAACTATTTAGCACACTGTGGTCTAGCATAACTCTCTTCAATCTGGCATGACAATCCAGATTTTTAGAATTCTGTTTATCATTTATTTATCATTTTTTGTAGGATTCTTCTTGTTGTAAGCGCTTTGGGCCCGCTCTGGGAAAAGGGCAGTATATAAATAATAATCATAAATTAATTAATTAAAAACATAGAGACGACCGAAACGAAAATGTAGTTTATGGTTTATTTTGAATCTAGATCATTTAATGACTAAATTCTAACATCCATGCATGTTCAGAATCAATACAGATCAATACATGTATAATATGTATACATCATTAAATTATGGTCTTGATAAATCTATACATGGTTCACATAATTCAACTATAGCTCATTCATGTATAGTGTACACATTCCTTCATTTCAACAAGGATGGAAATTTTGTTACAATCGTCACAATTATCTAGACAGGTAATACATGTACTCATCACATCGGAACTTTCCAAGGACTTTATGAATTCAACCGAGAATGAATAATTCAATTTTCGAAATTCCAATTTTATATTTCTTTGAAGGGTCACAGGTTTGGAAAATGCGGAATGGTAACATGTGAAAATCAATACAAGAGGACATAGATGTAGTTGTTTGAAAAAACTGGTTCTTCTTCCTCACAATAATTTGAAAACTGCATCACTGAAAAAGCCATGTACATGTACACTGAAGGATTCTTTAAGTACATATGTCTCACATATGATGATATGAATGAAATTTCATAAGACTGTAATATTTACTGACATTATTGTAGCTTTGTTACTTATGAATCATAAACTTCCTGAAGAGTTGAGCATCAAAATTGTAATTAATGTAACAAATAAACCCTTGGTTGTGCAATCGGTAAAGTAGACAACTTGCTGAAAATGCGCGCAAATCTGCCATTCAAGGATCTAGGGTCGGCCTATCTTGCTCTACTACATGTACATATAAGCCATGTCCCGCCATAACTTGATTAATTTCAACTGAGCCCCATACTTCAGAAAACAGCCAACAATTCAGCATTAACACTGTTATTAATGCAATTAAGGCTTCTGGCCTTCTCTCATTTAAAAAAAGCAAATGGTCAATGAATTTGCAGCTTGCCTGGGAGAAAATCTAACATGAACATTTGATATACCGGTGGACACCTGCTGAACGAATATCATAGGCTTATAATTAGTAAAGAAATTTTCTTGGCAAAAACATCAGACTTGAGTTAGAGAGGAATGCAGAATACCTCAGTCTGACCATAGGGACCAAGACAAGACCGACAAAAATACCAACTATCAATCACATACATGTAAATTTAAATGGCCAAGAATATGGAGGTTTTGGAGTCTGTTTGGTAGCTAGTCTTTGGTATGACCAACAAAATTCAAATTAAATGAAAATATGAAAAAAAGCATGAGTTAACAACCACATGAGATTCTTTTCCATATCATTATGGGAACGTACAACAAAAGAAATTCAGCAGTCGGTGCTTACGTGCGACAATGCCAACCTACCAAGTCTTTCATCTTAGGCTAAGGAAATTTTTACATTTCTATTTCCATCAACAATCAAGGAGTCAACCGTTTCCAGGACCTGACATTGAACACTTTAGGGTCTTCATGTTTAGGACATATCCCAACGACCAATGATGACATTGCTGCATCACTAACAAATAGTTCTTTTATGCTATAGTTTAAATTAAATTGACATTAAAACATTTAAGACAAACTCATAGTGGTTTATTATGATACAGAACCCTGTCACTGCCAGTGAGCAACCTCACAAAAAATTAAAAGCGAGAGGGAGACGTTGTCACCAGGCATATTATAAATAAATTGAGGAGAAATTGAAGAAAATAAACAACTGAAGTTGGATTCAAGGTACCGGACTGGTTTATCACTAAAAAAGAAAAGTTGCCAATTAGTTCCAACATAGCTTTCAAAATTATAAATACATTTCTTAATTACTACAAAGAAATCTCCTTTCATCATAGTGATTATATTGCTCAGCCAAATACCTTAGAAAAACATTTCACCATTAATGAACCCATCATGCAACTATTTGGTAAAAATTGTTCTCTCGAAAGAATATACCGGTATGAGGAATACATAACACAAACACATACAACATTTACAAAGTAATTCTGACAATAATGCACACATCCCAAATATAATCAAATCAATGCCGAGTCATAAGTTATCAAAAGAAATTGTGGATATCAATTAAATAATACATGAAAGTGGGTACATAATTTCTATTATTAATCATAAGTGTTATGTTTCATTTTTAGAACTCACCAAATTATACATGAATCCAATGACCGGGGTAATAGTATATTTGTAAAGCGCTTAGAGACATTGTATTAAGCGCTATATAAAAGCTAAATATTATATAATTATTACATCACAAAGATACATGCATACACCATTTTGCATGCATAATCACTGTAGATTACATCTTCCAAAACAAACCAGAAAGAAGAAGGAACATGTGTACATAGTCATACTTTTCAATTTGAGTAATAATAATAATAATAATAATAGCTAGTTCTTATATAGCGCTTTTCAGGACCGAAGGCCCTCTCAAAGCGCTTTACAGATATATATATATAGCAGGATTATGAGTAGACCAGTTAGGAGAAAGCACTTGTACAGGAATAATAGTGGTGCCTCCCAGAGTTGGGATGAATGACAAATACCTAAATACATTCTAGCTGCGGGCCTTCACTCTAACACCTAATCACATCATGAATTGAATACTGAAAAGTGACCATTCAATGCCACATAATAGATGGTCTCTTTGAGCAGATTGAACAACCATTAAGATTTCAGTATAGCATCCAACCTTGGGTGGGGGCAGAGCTAAAACAACATTTTAAAACAGATAATTTGTCCATAAGTACATCACATTACAATAAACTAAATATATAGAATATAAATTTACAATACCAACTCTCATATGAGATTTGCACATATTCAACCAAAATATATATTTTCTTTGATAGTGGTTCAGAGTATCTACTTTCATTTAGCAATTTGGGGATAAATTTGGTAAAAATCCTAAAGCACACTGTTCAATACTTTCATTCATAATGACTTTATCGCTACATTATTTACTCTACCTAGATAACCCGACAAAAGAGTTTCCCATCTGTATTTACGTGAACTGAATTCTGACCGTTCCAGTACCTTCATTCTGTCATTAAACAATTGAAAAAATAAATATACTGTACAAAACTGGTACCAACTTCCTCAAAATTTATCATCTAAAAAAGGCCTCCTCTCTAAAGTACCAGGTGCAGCTAAATATTTTGTACATATCAACAAATAATAAAATTTCATAAATGTAATGCTTCCTGGGAGAAATTTCAATTGTTTAAACATATTTGAGGCTTTATACAGATCGATCAATCAATCTTTATAATACTGGGTGTAAGCCAATAATAAACAAATAATATAAGAAATAAGAAAGATAACCAACAGTCTTTTTATGACTATACCAACAGTCCTTTTCAGTGCTAACAAACCCTCCAGAAAGATTACCGAGAGTCCTTTTCAGGACTCCTCAATCCTCCCTCTCTCTCACATGGTGCACCCGCAAGCCTACTGTATAAATAATACAATGTTATCAAAGACTATTCACTGGACAACACTCAACATTTCCTCATATAACTTTGTATTAACTTGTAGGCCTAGTAGATGAATGTAAATTTAAAAAGATAAAGAGTGATATTTAAGGACAATCTGATAAGCCTCAATTAGTACTGTGTAGAAAAACATAAATCGTTCTCGTTAATTTTATGGGAGTTTTTATTGACCGATATTACAGATCTGACTTGCTGCAAAATGAAAAAGACAGTAACATCTGCCCACTCAGAGAAAAGCAGATTGAGAAAAACATATTTTATGACACTAGCTTAAACAAAAGAGCGGTATAAAACAATTCCTTTAGGGGGGGGGGAGGCGCTGACAGGTTTAATGATAGAAGAATGGACTTTGTGTTAATGAACGCAATACATGTAGATTGTAATAGTACATATACACTATAGTTAATGCATGAACAGAAAAGGCATAATAAATAATTACATGTATATAAGCAAGCAGGTTAAAGGAACATACAGTAGTGTATTCAAGTGAATAACCTACTTGGAATGCTACAGATAGATTTTAAGTCATTATGTAGATATACATGTCTGAAAGATTTTGCATGGAATGAACATTTTATTTGAAGTGCGAAAAGGCTAATCGTCCTTCGTGTCCAACCTATTCATAACATTCATAATTGCAGGGGAAAGTGTTCCTGAAACATGGTACAGTCAAACCTGCTTTAGTGACCACCTGTCTACAAAGACCACATTTTTGGTTTCCCTTGAAAACGGTTTCTCATTGAGACATGTACTAAAGGAACCTGTCTACAAAGACCACTTTTTTAGTTTCCCTTGGGTGGTCGCTATTGACAGGTTTGACTGTACAATGATAATATATATGATATATAATCAAAATATATGATGTACCATCAGGCCTCATCCAGATACGATGCAGTTTTTGTATGATGATATAAAGTTTGATACACATCACATTTCTGTATCTTATAACACAGAGTTCAGTAAATATGCACAGAAACCTTTGTTGCGCGAAGCTGACAATCATATTACACATTAAATAAAGCCGTGGCTGTTTAATGCCTCATATCTGAACGAACCCATAGTGTAAAGACCGCACAGACATGCCCACAAAACCTCTTCATAGTACACACTGACTATTCAAGGTGGCCTCAGGTTGCATCATGTAGAGCATTTCTCCTTTTTAATTTCACGATTTGCCATTGCCTGCTGTTTAAACAGGTCGAGCTTGTAACTCTTGTTAAGGAAAGGCTCAAACTTGTAAGATTTCTGCATCTTTCCCAGCCGGACATAATTTGGTTTCGGTATGAAAAGTATTCTCGTAGACTCCAGCAAACATGAATCTCCCTGACTTACATGTCGCATTCTATGGGTAGATCTTCTTGACCGACCATACACATGAGGGGTGAACTTCTGAAGGACTACATTGACTCCCACTGGACAGTGTCTCTCGACTACCCACCGTTCTTGAACGAGACCAAAAGTAGTTGATTCAACTTCATTTTCTCCGACCAGCGTTGGGGCGACGACTTGATTTGAACTGTGCTTCCTCAGACAGTCTGGCTATCTCCTGGCCAAGAGTGTCAATGTTTTCCTTCGATGATGAATTCGAAAAAATAAATGAAATTGAGCACATTCTTAAATCTGAAAAACTTCTTATACATATGTGTATATTTTGAAATACATACGTACATGTTTAGTAAAGTCATCTATTAATGATATTTTGTTTACTTCAAACCGAAAGTGAAAACTGAAAATGATTTAAGTGTATGTAGGTGTTTTTCTTTCATTGCACTATACATCATTCATTGCTTTTCTACATGTATCTAGACAAATAAAGCTTAGTTTATATTAGCATACTTGAAGGAGGGGCAAGCGGGATGGGGGGGGGGGGGGCAATTTGCCCCTCCAACCAAGAAAATAAATTTTCAACCAGTTTTTATATTCCAGTACTTAGCAGGTCTGGAAATCATTTTGAATGTCCTTCGTTGTCAGATTGCATGTGGAATCACTCAAAGTTCAGATATACAGTATTCTCCATATGTACATATTTATTCACTTTCTTCCCCAAGTAAGTCATTTTGGGCAATACCCCCTCTGTTATGAAAACCAGTGCTCTTAAAAGTGGTTCTATTTAATACTGAACTACATGGATCACATTAATCTAAAATATTTTGCCCCTGCTACATAGGAAAGGCTTTAACACTGAATTTGACTCACCTTAAGGGTAATGTTTTTGAGGAGTGTATCCTCTAGTACTGTTTGAAGCTTGCGATTGATCTCTAACGAGAGGTCAAGGGTCATATTGGGGTCAACTGAATGTGATCCGTAGAGGGAGGACATGATGCCACTCTTTTTGGACATCTGAGCCTGTCGGATGAAAAAAGGGGGAAAAAAGAGAAATGATGTTATGAACGAAACACGGTCAGAACCATGGAAGATAAATATCATCTCTAAATATAAGGTTATCCCCTGAAATGCAAAGATTGCATTTGTGTATTCAGTAAATACATCTACATGCAGTTAGGGTTCGCTTCCCTTAATCCTCTGGGAAAGCATAGAGACATAATGTCACATGCTTAGAGAGGGGAGGGCGAAAATACACTTTGATACCGGTACACAGTTCATGCCCCTCTGGTTCAATACAAACAAACAATACCACCCTGTATATCATTAGACAGTATTATAGTGTGATTTTCACAACACAAAACAAATACTCATATGCATTGAAGCTGTAGGATGTTGTGCAAAAATATTGAATACATAAATAAGGGTCAAATATACCTATAAAGCCCTTTCATTTCTTTTTTAAATCAAAAAAGTATTGAAGCGGCTCAAGTTAATCAATCATTAGATGATGACGTCTTGATGCAATAATGTACAATCATGTTTTCCTACATAATAGAGCAGCTTTTCAGGATAGAATATTTCAGGTTCAAGTAATTTGACATAACTATACTGTAATATATGGCTTGTTGAAGTACAATTAGTACATTTCACAGCAGCTAAACACACACAAAATAAATTGAAACAAACATAATGTAAAACTGACACTGCTCTGGATAATCAAAAACTAATTATACATGTACATGTAAAGTACATCAAACCATCCCCAAGAAAATTCAACTATTTCTACAAAAATATTTTTTAAAGCATTTATGAAGTTAAAAGAAATGTTATAAATTAACATTGTATCTAATTATCTATGTCATCATAGCTGTTTTCTGGTGTACCATAAATTTGGAATCACTCTAACACTGCAAACTTTCTATCTAAAAATATGTCAATTACTAAAAAAGAGAAACAGGAAAACAACAGAAACAAAGTACAAGAAAATGGCACAAGTGAAGAAAAATAAATACTATGAGGTTTGGTATATAGACAACAAAGCTATAGAGGGCAACACAGAGAGTCATCAGACAAGGAAATGTACTACAATGCAACATGCAAATATTGAAACATTTTCAAGGCTACTCAAAAAAAAAAATTATGACTTTTTAAAAAGGGGATGATACACAGCCAGACGTTTTAAAGGGCAAGCCAATTCAATATTTAGCAAGATTTGGACAGATTCTGCTTTTGAACATTTGGATGAATTGATGTTTGAAAAGAAAATAGGGAAAATGTTATTTTTTTTATGTGAATTGCAAAGCCTGTGATTCTAATTTCAATAAACAGCTGATTATTGTTGGAGCAAGAATATTAGAAGTAGCACTTTATGAAAAACCATGCAAGCTGATGCCAGTGCTAAAAGATCAGGTCTGCTCATACAACAACAAAAGTTATTCTTTTCAAATAATCCTGTTAATTATGCATTAATTTTCTTCTTTTTTCATGATATGATCTAATATTTATCCCAAATGATGCTACATAAGATTTTCTGAAACCTTTAACCTTTCTTGATAAAGAATAAATAATCAACCATATATAGTGCAGTTCAAAAATTGAAAAAAGAAAGAAAAAAAAAAATAAAGGAAAAAAAAAAGAGATATCATATACATTCATCATGAACCACTTAGAATCAATGAAATGAAAACAACAAAACATTCCAGGAACTCAATAATGCAAACAAAAAATGGGAGAAAATCAAATGAAAAATGATGATTATTCCTGCGTGACCTTACCATGGTTTTCCGTACAAGTTTTTTCTATGGCAGGCATGGTAAGGAAATGAATGGAGAGAGTTAGGGAAATAAAAATATGATAAAAAAAAGAAGAAAAGATAGAAAGGTGATGATGGTACAGGCATATACATGAGCTCCGAAATCCTCCTTATGTCAAGATTATATACACACTTGATCATGCTTTTAATGAATCTATAATCATCCTCATTATTGACATTGACTTACAGTCCACACAAATTGTGGACGTTTGCATTCAACCAGCATTTTGGAATAGTGTGCACAACAATATATATATATTTTTTTAATTTTGAATACTTTGGGACTGTTCTGAATGCATGAACTGTTTTGTACGATCTTCCAAATTACGGTTCAACAGGGGTCAAATCTGCCGCAGTAATGTTAAACATGTGGACCTGTCCATAATATATTATTTGTAGGATGACAATGTAAATATGACTTGGGTTTATGACAGTACTTGCAAGAAAGAATATTAGGCTTGAGAGCAGCACTGGTATTTAAACAAAGTATAAAGCATTGCTGTGCACAACTGGCAAAATAGAATCATGCATTAATTTAGTTTCCATTCAACTTGCAAGGCTTTCTGGGGAATATAACAATCAAATTCTTTAAACATGACATGACATATGAATAACAAGAAGTAGGAAAGCACATAATGGAAGAAGAACATAACAACCTATTAATTTTTACCCATAAATTCTTGCTATATACTAATGCACCTAATACTCCACATTGTTGACTTTTATATATTAATATCTTATTAATATTAGTTTCCAAAAGCCTTCCCAATGAATTTATATACACACCAATCCTTCCCCAAATGATGATGAGCAAATAGATGTAATATGAAAATGAATTTGTTAATAAGAAGAATATTTATTCTCAAACAATACACAAAATAAATATTTTCTCTCAATGCAGATTCTATCTTTTGCTGTTGGTCGAGTTAAGACCTCTACAGCTATTAAAGGAAAGTATTGATTTGCAGCATGCTCATATGTTTTTTTAAATATTTATATCAGCTTGCGGATAGCTGAAGCGTGAGCGGTGCTTAAAGATAAAGTTGACTTCTGGTCATGCGATTGCATTGTGAAAGAAACGTTGTGGAATCGATCAGAAAAAGTTGATCATCTAGCATGTAAGTATTGGTGTGTACTGCAAGGTTCTAGAATCATCAAAATGATTGGTAAAGTTACGAGCACTGTACACAGAAAGATGCATATGGGACTTCACGAACATGTGGCATAAAAATCTGTCCCGATTTTATGACGTTACATGCCATATTTAGAATATTAAGCATTTGAAGAGCTTTTCAGGAACATTGTTTATCTGATGTCCTTCCACACTTGCATAATACAATGACAACGCTCACAATTTTTTTTCCACCTCTTCCCAGAACTCAACCTTCTCTTTAATTATTGCAAAGTCATTGTGAACGTGCACACTCCATGTAAGATGATGACATCAAGTTCAAATGTAGTTTTTAGGTCGACAACTTCCAAATTTCAAATCTTTAGATCTCGAGTTTTTAGAGAGCTGTTACTCCTCAAATAGACCCTAAAAATATCATATATTTATATCATTGTGAGCTATTTTTTACAAGCTTTCTGTTGATATATAAATCATCTATTACATTTTAAGCTTCTAACAGGGTCTACCGGGGGATACAACATGAGAGGGCTTACTTTGTTTTCATCGCTGATGGCTGGTATGAGGGCACCTACTTCTTCTCTCATGATGTACTGCTGAATAATCCTGCAGAAAAAGGAAAAAAAAATCATTATCTCATTATTATACACAGCTCAACACTATAATAATCAATCTACATTTGCCACTCTCAACCCAGGTGTTGGATGGGTACCAGTAGGAAGGAATTCCTTGAATGCTGTGTGAGCGCCGAAATCGGCAGCCTAGCACAGCCGGGTAATATTGGAAGGCCTTGAGCACCTTGCATGGTGAATATGTGCGCTATATTTATCCAATATTATTGTTATCATTCTTATAAAGGGTGAAGGTGAATGATCCTCTAATTTCTGAAGTACCCCCACATTTTATCTCCATGTGTTTTTTTTTCTTCTAGTGATATAGCTACTGTATGTTCCTTATTCATCTTTCAAATACATGTATGTGCAATATTCTTTAAAATAATCCACTTTATATAACAACAGGTATGGAATGTAGTACAAGTGTCATAGTAAGATGGTTTAAAAAGAAGACTGGAGATATAACAGGCATCCTTAAGCATTTAAATTGCCGTTTACAGATTCATAACTTTCTTATTCTTCAGCAAAATTTTCTCAAACTGTATACTTCTCATCTCTTTCCATCAGTCTTCTGTATGCTTTTTTTAAAGCCAACTTACATGTCATATTAGAGTAGACTTCCTTGTTATTAACCTAACCTGATCTGGCGCACAAACATGTACGTTTCTTTAGATACAGATGGACTTTGTATGAAGTTTTTGCATCAACTTTCAAATCCAATATTGTTTTCACCACCCAGAACAGATTATCTTAACAAGCAATCCAACCCTTATAATAAGTTCATTTTTATGAAAGCATAATAATAAGAAAAACAGAATGGCGAAAGTTGGAAATAAATCGGACGAATCATAAGTTAAAAATATTTGAAAAGACCCTCCTGTGTCCTACTCTTTTTGAAAAATTGAAATTTGTATTCATTTTATAAGTTGAAACAAATGGGGAAAGTAGTCCACCACTATATCACAGAGACATTGTCCATTGAGTCAATTTGAAGAGCCTATACCTATAGTGATTAAAAATTTAAACAAATCATAACTTTCTCCATCTTTGTGCGATTTCATTCAAAATTTCACCAGTAACATACTTCTCCGACTTTTAATACTCTGGAGCAGTTTGTTATCAAAGCTGGATTTCCATTTAAATCTTACTTGGATTTCTTCTGTAATTCTTCAATGAGTTGACAGTTGTGTTCCTGGAGAAACTCAATTTTCTCTGCTTTCCTCTGCATCTGCTTCTGAAGCCTGACGATTCGATCCACCAGCATGGCCTTGTCGATACCAGGGAAGTCGTTACCCCCGGCTATCGCTATGGTGTGGTCCTGCAATCACAAAGATAGCAAAAGGGCACAACACACACATGTACAGTGTAAGGTGGTGAAATATAATAGACTCAATATATGTACATGGCCGGAATGCTCCTCAGGGAGTGGAGAATGTGCATGCATTGTGTTTGATTAAGCCTGAATCAGATGACAGGGGCAATAATATGTACTGCGCCTAGAAACAAAGTATTAGGTGCATTATAAATGTGAGTTATTATTATTTATTATTACATGTATATATGGTAGTGGTAATATGGGCCCTGTAATATAAAGAGTTGCAATTGATATTCAATCACAACTCTTAATAAGATGGGGACCTGGCCTGTTTTATCTGTTTTCTTGCTTGGTTTCTGTATGACAGAAAGTAAAAGCAGGAGGTAATATTTCATTTTAAATGTTTTGAAAGGGTTTGAATATGTTGCGCTTACTATAAATGTGCACCATGACAGGAAGATGCAAGCATTTTATAATTTATAAAAGTAAATCTCTCATTATACAAAATAGATTCTTCAATAAAGGATTATCATAGTTTAAAAGGAAAGTTTTGAAAAAAAGTAGAGGCTTACGATTTTAATACTGTGATTTCAGAACTTCATTTTACAGAAGGTCATAGACTAAAAGCAAACTAATCAAATGAATGCATTTGTTCTTTATACAAAGAATTTTGTACTCTCAATGCCTATTAAACACACTTTTTTTTCTAATATTATTATCTAAATACAACACATAGGGTGGTATTCTCGCAAGCGGACTAACATTAGTCCATGGTTTAATCCTCCGACTAAGTATGGAACGCTAAGTGTCCATTTGAATATATTTTTGAATAATTTGATGTCCCTAAATTACCATGATAACATAACTATTTCATAGTTATATTGTTGTTTATTAACTACAGTATGTTATTAAATTTCATTTTAATTTAGTGACCGATGCAATTATTCAAAAACGTATTCATATGAACACTTGGCATTCCATTACATACATAGTCGGTGTATTAACCATGGACTAAAGTTAGTCCGCTTTCAAGAATACCACCCATAGGGTTTTGCTTCTTTTGCCATCCTTCGCACCTGGCCTGATTGAGGGGAATCATCCTGCCTGCCGACGCTTCCTCCCCCACTGCTCCCTGACGAGATGTTTACTGTACCACCGTTGAGGGCGCTGTTTCCCAACGTATCCAGGGATCCCGTGGAGCTGGTCCTGGACTCAGAGCTGAAGTTCTCCTTGTTGCCTGGAGCGCCGCCGCCACCGCCACCGTCGGACTCCAGGGCTTCTATCCTCTTCTTTGCAAGGTGAAGCTGACGAGTTAGATCCTGAGAAGGAGTCGAATTTTGAATTGGATTTGGATTTGGATTTGGAATTGGAATTGGATTTATAGTTGGATTTGAAAAGGTATTTATTAAAAACCACATGGCAGCTCAACAGTTGAATCGAATGGAATTTACATCACAAAAAATTCAAATAAATGCAATAAAAAGTAAATATGATAATATTTGACATCAAGACTAATACATAAACAACTAGATGGAATTCGACTGCGCGCAGTCGAAAATGATGCCTCCGTCAAAGAGCAATTTTACAAACCAAAACAGAAGAAATTTTTCGAATTCAAGTTCAATTGTAATCTATTGAGAGGTTCTCAGAATATCGTGATTACAAGCAATTTCTCATATACATATATGACCCTTTGATCTTTGACCTCATGACCCTAAAATCTACTCAGTTCATTGGCTCTGCAAGATGTCCTGAGTTAAATAGTAATCCATCTGTCAGTTCTAATGAGAATGTGTTCACAAGCTATTTTTGCATACATAATGAGCCCATGACCTTTGACCTTTGACCTTATGAACCAAGAATCTACTCAGTTCATTGGCTCTGCAAGTAACATACATGACCTAATTTTGGCAGGAATCCATCAATCGGTTCTTGAGATAACGCGATCACAAGCTGTTTTTGCATACATAATTTGCGCTGTGGCCTTTGACCTTTGACCTCATGACCCCTAAATCTAATCAGTTCATCGGCTCTGCAAGATACATACATGACCAAAGTTTGGCAGGAATCGATCAATCGGTTCTTCAGATAACGCGATCACAAGAACGGGACGTACGTACGTACAGACGTACGTATAGACGTACGTACGTACGTACGGACGGACAATCCAAAAACATAATGCCTCCGGCTACTTCGTAACGGAGGCATAAAAAGAAATACATCTTAGGGATAGTAAGTAAATCAAGATAAAATAAGGTGGATTGAAATCAAAGAGAGTAAAAATGCAGGTTATGTGACACATGCTCTTATGATAATTGTCTCCAGTCAATTTTGTATACCAACCAATTTCCTAACTTTGACCCTGGATCCAAGACAATTATCAAATCTAGGCTAACTCTACACCTCATCTAAAACCAAATTACAACTAACCTCTCAACACAACTCTTTGTCTTTGAAGAAATAAGTGCAGCGTTTATTCATACGATGTACTTGCCAACCTTTCATAGCAAAAGTTATTAATCTCTCAAGGTAAAATTGTGAATACTCTCTACACTCTATTTTGTATACCGTACTGTTCACACAGAATATCTCAGAAAGAAAGAGGATCTAGGGTTCAAAAGAATAACTTCCAAGAAAACAAAACAGTAATCATTCCTTCAAAAATTGGAATGGTTGGCAGCCATGCTAAATGTTGCAAGATGAAATGTTGGATCATCATTTTAGAGCCAACATGTACAAGAAACTACAAGGAATAATTTGGCATTTCCATGATAAGACGCAGGGCTGTGATGAATTAGGTCCTGAGATACAGGTGTAGGTGGCATCTGTATGTCTCAATTTCACAATCTTATTTTGTGCCTGATTTGTAAAGTATTAGTCAGGAGGTGTAAATGACTAGTGGCTGGTAGTCCTAGGTGATAGGTGTCCTAGAATTCTTGTTTGCAGCTAAATGCATACCAGCCAACAGTTGAAAATGAGAATTAAGAATTTTTAGCACAGTATGTCTTTGAAAATAAGAAATCTGTACCCTTAACAGGCGTTCGCACATGCAGCGGCAGTGTAACTGGCAATACGCGGTAAATCTGTGCAAAAAAGCGAATACAAATTCGCTGCTCAATCATGCAGCCCTTCAACACACGCAATACGTGAACTCTCACATCGCGGCATATGATAAAACAAGCTTAATTTGGCTTAAGCAACACACACACAAAACAAAAAAAACAACAAAAAAAAAAAAAAAAAAAATCAAAATTTTGAAAATCCGGGATATCCCGCATTTTGGGGTCCTAAAAATCCAGAAAAACAGGATATTCCAGATTATTTGGGAGGGTTGACAGGTATGTAAATGTAGAAAGAGATATTTGTGCCATTTCATGTTATCATAGCAGGGGGGTTTTTCACAAAGATCCTAAAGTTGGACTTAACAATTATGGAAAGCCGTTAGCATCTATAAAAATATTTTGTAAAAGTTATTTTAAAAGGCATAGAATGTTGACTTGAATCATTCATATTTTCTATTATCAAGGAGATTTCATGTTCTTGATGTGGAATTTATAAAAAGTCTAAAATACTTGAATGTTCACCTTTGAATATATTTAATTTTGAGGCTACAAATGGCTGTCCATGATTTTTAAGTCCAACTTAGAGTTAGGTTTGACTTAGGATCTTTGTGAAACACCTCCCAGGACAGTAGACCAAAACGTAAAAAACATCACACACACCTTGAGATTTGCAGCATTTTTTCTCTTGAGTGTCTTCGTCTCATCTTTGGCATCGTCTAGTTGAACTTTGACCTGATCCAGAGTCTTGGTCTTCTCACTGAGCCGAGCCGACAGCAGGGCTGCCTCTCTCTCACGGTACTGCTTCTCTTGGTTCAGGTCAGCAGTCTATATGCAATGAATAGAACGTGACCAAAGTTGAATCGAATATGGCTTTAGATCTTCAATGTACAGTCAAACCTGTCTATAGCTATTGCCCAAGGGAAACACAAAAAGTGGTCTTTGTAGACAGGTGGTCACTTAAGCAGGTTTGACTGTACAATGAAACATGCTTCAGTAACCACCCGTATAGGAAGGCCACTTGCCTATAAAGACCACATTTCTTGTTTCCTTTGTGTAGTGTTTCTCATAGAAACTTGTACCACAGGAACCTGTCCGTAAAGACCACCTGCCTACAAAGACTGCGTTTCATGGCCCCCTTGAGTGGTCTTTATATACAGGTTTCACTGTATAAGGGATTTCACAACAGACATGACAATGAGGGTGAATCACTCTGGGTTTTACTGTATGCAGATCAATTCTCAGTTCAGGTGTTTCAAAATAATATTTTGCATCGTATCTTAGTGACTGTTTGAGATGGGTGAATATTAAATTACTTTGGAGACTTCTATAAATTTAGGTCATTATTCAATATTGTATACAGTTGTACATTTTTGTAATCATGAGAGTTTATTTCTCATAAGACATCTGTAAAATAGGAGACAAGTAATGCTTTAATACAAAGTAAAGAACTTAACAAACAAAGAAATTATTAACCAAAGAAATACTTAATGTTTTAATTCCAATTTTGTTATATTTTCTTCTTTGAGTATAAGACATACCGGTACGCTTCCCACAAAGTCATATCATAATATAGCCAGGAATAAATAGAGACAGTTCCGCTTACCAACTGTGAGACCTGTGACTTTGCTTCTTCCAATTCTGAAGTCAGGTTTCTGCATTCTTCAGTTAGCTTATCAACCTGACAAAGTAAATTTGAATAAAAGTACAGATCTAAAAAGCGAAGACAAGGTGAACTCCTACACATTGAAGGGAGGCTCATGAAGTTGTTGCATTATGAAAGTTTAAGCAAACAAGGGAAACGCTCTCGGCAGTCTCGCCTGCATAACGCAATTCAATATGATAAACCAGAACGTCAATGACGTAGCGCTCATCCGCATCTCACAACAACAAATATCATAAATTTTATGTAGTACACTTTTGAACTGGTCAAAAAATTAAAAAATTTGATGCCCTGGAAGGAAAGTAATTCCATTTCATTTGCATAAAGTACCATAAATAATCAATGGAGCAAAATCTCACAAATCTGTGTAGAAGTTTAGTGTGCCAAATTTAGCTCTACCAGATAAGGCAAACCAAATCAAAATCGGTCAAGAAATGAGGGAAAAGAAGCAATTTTAGTTATTTTTTAGGAATAAATTTGCATAAATTACCATAATTAATTAATGGAGAACAATTTCAAAATTCTGTGTAGAAGTTTAGTGAACCAAAGTAAGTTGTACGATATAAAGCAAACCAAATCAAAATCGGTCGAGAAATGAAGGAGAAGAAGACTTTTTTGTGATTTCGAATAAATTTGCATAAATTAGCATAGATAATGAATTTCACGATTCGGTGTAGAAATTATAAATCCCTTTCCTAGCTCTATCATATGAAACAATCAGAATCAAAATCGGTTGAAAAATAACGAAGAAGCATTTTGAAAATCTTGATGTTGATGCCACAACAAAGTCTAAGTTTGTTGACCTTAAATGACCTTTAACCTTAACTTAGTGACCTGAAATTCTACTCACATAATTGGGGCGACTTGATAACCCTATAGTCCAAGTTTCATTGACTAAGAACTTATACTTTCAAAATTATATCAAAAATTCAAAAACTTAACCTTAGGTTAAGTTTTCGATGATGATGCTACAACATAGTCCAAGTCTGTTGACCCGAAATGACCTTTGACCTTGACTTTGTGATCTGAAATTCTACTCACATGATTGGGGATACTTGATTACCCTACAGTAAAAGTTTCATTGACTAAGAACTTATACTTTTAAAAATATATCAAAATTTCAAAAACTTAACCTTAGGTTAAGTTTTTGATGTTGACGCCGTCGCCGTCGCCGTCGCCGTCGCCGCCGCCGTCACTGGAAAAGCGGCGCCTATGTCTCGCTTTTTGCTACGCAGGCGAGACAAAAATGGGGAAAAGTGTATGGATGAATTAACATCACCGAATGCTCCTGTGTCTGTAATGATAGGGGTATACAAGGTCTGTCATTTTTTCTTCCAATAAGTGTGCAGATTTTGTGGGTGAGTCGTGGTATAGTGATTCATTCACTTGAGGCTCAACACAAGGGTTGAGGGTTCAAATCCCAAACCAGCTCTCATTGTCCTCTGGCAAGACATTAATCCACATTTGCACTTTCTACCCAGATGTAAATGGGTACCTATTGATCCAAAGGGCTACATATTTGGACTCTCAGCTATGATTTGATTAATAATGTTGGAGCACCAGGGGAGTGTTTAACCATGGAAGGCCATTCATGCCACTGGTTGCTCTCACCATTATGATCTTTCGATAATATTTTTTCCTTCAATAATGAACTATCAAAAAATGTTAATTCTGTAGATTTGTGACCTTGATTTGTAAGTCCTTGAGAGACCAATGCCAGTATTATGGTGAGAGAAAACAGCGGCATGAATGGCCTGCCATAGTTAAGTCCAACTTAAAATTGATCTTAGTCTTTATGAAACACCCCCAGAAGTGTTTAGTTGTGATAGAGATGTGCACTATGTAATTAAAGTAGACATCATAATATTAAGTCCACCTTTTCGTTCTTCCATCATGGCGGTTACCTTGGCACTGAGTACGTTATTATCCGAGTGAAGACCGGCATTCTTGGTGGTCATCCTCTCTGTGAACTGCAGGAGCTCGGACTCCTTGTCCCTGCTCCTCTCCAGCTCAGACTCCAGGTCCTTCTCATCCTCCTTCCTGGAGGCGATCGTCTTCTCCAACACCCCCACGTTCTCCTTGGATCTGTAGGAAGAAGGGTAGTGGGAATGAGGCAAAGAAAAGTCGGAAAATGAGACAAAGCCAGTGAGCACCCAAATCGGTAGCCTAGCAGAGCCGGGGTAATATTGGAGCGCTTTGAGCACCTTTCAGGGTGGATATGTGCGCTATTTAATTATCCAATATTATCATTATTATTATGTAGCATTCAAAAGGCCATACCCCATCCTTTTTGAGAACTTGATTATCCTGTGAAATCCTGTGAGATGCTTTTATGTGACATATTGTATTTGTTATTGTTTCACACAAAGTCCGCATTGAGCATTTGATTTCAAGTGGGTTCAGTGCCTTTATACAAATCTTGTACATTATTATTATTATTATTATTATTGTTATTGTTATTATCATTATTGTTGCATACCAGGCATCATTTGCCCGATGTGAATGTCTTTGACACTCTGTGTGGGAGTAACAGTGTACAAAAACAACTGCAAAATATACAGTGCAAACACTGATTGTGTTAACTCACTGCAGCATCGGCTCGTTACCTCCAGAGGCTCATTTAGTGCATGCAATAATGAAAGTGAAATATAATGCCTTGCATGCACAGGCATGAGGATACGCCATTAAAATCTGGGCCCTGTTTCATAAAACTTGCTACCAATAACAATACTCATCTTCTATGACAACTTTGCTCTCAGCCAATCAAATGCCATGATTTCAGTAGCTTATAACAGTTATTGTAACTTGTTATCGATAACAGGTTTTATGAAACAGGGCCCAGGTTTGACTGTAAATGCAGGGTTTGACTTACTCGTCTAGTTTTCTCTTGATTGACTTGAGATCATCCATCTGTCTTGTGAGTTTCCTGTTCTCTTCCTTCTGTGAGTTGAGGAGACCTTTGAATTGGGCCAGAAGGCCCTCGGTATGCAGTCTCTCATCTTCTAGACATGTAGCCTGAAAGAAATATGTAAGCAATATTTAGATGTTATCATTATACATGTATAGTTCCTTTCATTTGTATTTATAAGTATTTCTAGAATATTGTGTATGATTCTTCTTTAAATTTATATGTTTTTAATGTTTTGAATTCTGTGAATTAATTTGTAATCTAGCCTTTGCTGCAATGAGTGAATAAAATACCTTGAATTGAATTGAAGAACAACTGCATGGAATAACAGCATTTGATGATGATGATTGTTTTAACTGCCTGCTATTATAGACCGACTAGTAGTAGTTTTCACATTCATCACAACATGGATGTTATTGCAACACAACTCTCATTTACCTTGACTTTCAATGAGTCCAGCTCTGCTAACGTATCGTGATGAGACTTCTTCAGTGAAGTCAGCTCCTTCAAACGTGTGTTATGAAACTGGGTATGGAGTAAATGTATTAAAGCACAGTTATATATTAACCATTTACTTGCCACGAGTGTCAATTGGCACACTGGTAGGTGATGGTAGGATTAACTCATGGTATTGATAATTCAACATCTCAAAAAGATGTGGACCTTGAAAAACACACATCTCAAAATATGTGGTAAATATTTGTTGGAATTTTTCCATCAAAAAGATGATGTGGAACACAACGAGTTGAGAAGAAATTATAACACATCTTGATTAACTATTAAACTCTTTGTATGAAATACAATGTATGTTATATAATGCCTAAATCTGAAAAAGCATCTAAACCACATTAAACAAAGCAGAAAACCCACAGATATTGTATAGGCTAAAATAATTAAAGCACAATCGACATTCTCATATTTTTTTTAAAAATCTAATTAATAGAAGTATACAACATATCATCACACAAAACATCCTGTAGGGAACCTTGAAATATACTTCACAGAGTTGCCAATTTGTGTTTGATTGATCGCAACTTCAAAAAGTCCACAACTCTCTTATTATCAATCAGATTTTGCTCAAACTTTCACCGGCCTGCTCCTCTCGTTGTTCTGCTTCATTAAAATTAAATTAGTATCAGGGTGTACTTCTCCTTTAAGAGTTAGAGGGGTCATTTAGGGAGGGATTCTTATTTTGGGGGATTTTAAAAGTACCTCCATATGGTCCTCTTTTTCTTGAAAGTGTATTTTGAGTTCCTCTTCCTTCTCCTTGAGTTGTATGTCAAGAGAATTAGATCGGATCTCCTCAGATTCCTGTAAATAGGTCAAAGTTGTACATAAAAAATTGATCACATTGACATACATCATCAACATATCCACACACAAACTACAAACTACAAACTACATTTGCCACACTCAACCCAGGTGATGTAAATGGGTACCTGGCAGGAATTAATTCTTTGAAAAGAGCGCCGTAATGGCAGCACAGCTAAACCCGAGGTAATAATCTCCAAGTTTGGAAGCGCTTAGTGATTGTAATAAGGGTTATATAAAACTGAGTATTATTATTTATTATTTTGTATAAAACCAAATCTAATGATTGCACCATCTTTGGGTGAATTTAGTTCATGTTTCAATCAGAAAAACTGATCAAGGTATTAAAATATAGAAGAAAAAAAAGTCTCAATAGACACAGAGTTTCTTTACAGACAGCCACTAAAGCAGTTTCCACTGTATTTTGTTTTGGTTTAAAGTTGAGTTCTGGTCATAAGATTGCACTGTGAAAGAACGTTGTGGAATCGATCAGAAAAGGTTGATCATCTAGCATATAAGTATTGGTGTGTATTGCAAGGTTCTGAAATCATCAAAATGATAAAAAAATTGGCACAGTCTTGGTAAAGTTACAAGCACTGTACATAGAAATATGTATATGGGACTACATGAACATGTGGCATAAAAATCTGTCCCGATTTGTATGCTGTTACATGCCATATTTCGAATATTAAGGTATTTGAAGAGCCATGCTCCTCTGGGAACATTTGTTATCTGATGTTCTTCCCACTTGCACTATCTACAAGGGAAAGGTGGGCCTAAAGCAAGAAGACTACATACAAGTATCAACAGGGTCAAGGTCAAGAAGAAACCACCAACACTCAATAGAAATCCCCTTTGCCAGACTTATATAAATACTCCTTTTTCCCAAGAACTGGAAGAGCATGTAACGCCCTCGACCAGCAGTCTGTAATAGCCACATCTGAACTTTAGAAACACACTTTAGCATGCATCACCTGCCATACAAGTTAGCGACATGCGGAATACCGCCCTGCTGACTCCAAATTCAGAAGGATAATGCTCACAAATTATTTTTCACCTCTTCCCAGAACTCAACCTTCTCTTTAAACATGGAGGTCCTATTAAACACCGATGTCGGTTGCCATGGAAATTGATGATTCCTTTTTCCTACCTGGTAAGTACGAATCATCTCCTGGCAGTTCTTCCTGATCTGTTCAGTCTCTTCCTTGGCCTCCTGAAGTCTCTGCTCAGTCTTGGAGAGCTTCACCTTCGTTTCCTTTTACACAAAATGAAACAAAAATATTAATAATAAAAATAATAATATGTCTTCTTTACCCGAGGAAGCCTCATCAGTATCAATACTGTTCTCCCCGAGGGCCCTGCAATCGTATTATTACAACGGAAAGAAATTTTATTTTTTCCCTTAAAATAGAGTTAGAAGCAAATGAGAGGTTGAATTTTGAGATTAAATGATATGATCTTCATAACCTTGTTTTTTGTTGCTGTTGTTTTAGTTGTTTATTTCTTTCTTTTTTTCTTTCTTTCTTTTGAAATTCACTGTCTAATCTATATGCAGTGGTTAATAAGTGAATGTTCATCATTTGTTTATTTAATTATAATACATGTATATCTAAAGATTGACACGATACAAATGTACCATTGTATTTCTGCATTATTGAAAATCATGCTAATCAATTGAATAAGAGTCAAATGTAACATACGATAAAATGCATGGTGAATGAACATCAAATAATCACCACTGACAGTTCAATACCTTATGACTTTCTAGCTCTGTCTTGAGTTTATTCTGAGCCCATTTGACCTTGATTCCTACTGAGGAGACATCATCCTCCATCTCCTCCTTCTCCTTTTGAAGCTTGGTAATCTCCATGTCCTACAAAGAGATACAAAAAAATGAACATTATATTAGTGTGCCATCCTCACTAACGTAAGTCACGAAAATCCCACCGCTGCCACCATGTTACATTATGCTTAAGGGGTTTATTTAAACCCACTCTGCACTACTTATAGCTACTTGCTCCCTCTATATAACAAACAAGGCATAATCGGTGACCATTGGTCCCCCATGATCATCTTTTTCTTATGTTAATTGAGAGCTGATTTTATGAGATAACCACCTGTCCAGTGACCTTGCAGGGCAGTCTAGTAATCCCTCCTGTTTACAGGTGTTTTAACATGTGAAGAAAGTGTTTATAACAGGCATGAGGGGTTTATTTAAGTGTTATTCTTGACTCGAACGGAAGAGAGCTAAATACAGGTGTTTTAACATGTGAAGAAAGTGTTTAATAAAAGGCATGAGTGTGCCCTCTAACTGAATATACATTATAGTCTGTCAGTTGACTAAAATAACATATAAACAGGATACTGTTACATTACAAATACATCAAAAATTTAAGAAAAAACATGGGGTAGTCTCGATAAATGAATCACACTTACATGTATTCATGTTTGACAAAGCATTTGGTTGGGTTCTAGGAGTGAGTTGTATGTACTACAAACTAATTGAATCACAACTCATAGAATACTGAATTTTATGACTTGCAAAAATTTGTTCCATGATAATTGCTTTAGTTTTTCAATTTTGGCATGTTTCTGGGTTTTTTTCTTCAATACTTATCAGGAAAAAAAAACACACTGTACCATCTGGCCGACAAATTCACAAAAATCTAGCATCTGCCCAACAGACACATGCAACTACCTGGACCACTGGCCAGCAACCTTGGTTCTTGGTTCTTGGTTGGTTGGTTGGACCTCCAAAATACTTAACTGGAGGTGCGGGTAGGGTGTATAATTTGTACCTTCTCAAGTAACAATACTATCCCCTCCCCAGCACATTCCCCTACAGTATTTTTTCTTTTAATTGTAATAAAACTGTCCCTGGGGTACATGTTGTTATCCTAAGAGGTGGCTTTCTCGGGGAGAACTTGTCTAGGAGATTGTAGTCGAGGGATTATTTTCCTAGTATCTTGAAACAAGACTGGTAGAACAGTGGAAAAAAGGTTCAAAGGATAAAAAAGATACCTCAGAATCCCAATGGATTCTCATTTTTTTGACACCCCTCCCCAACAACAACCAAGATTGCCTAAATTCACAACCCATATTCTGAAAAGGAATTACTTCTGCACACACATAAATAGGAGTCATTGAACTCATCATTTGTTTTCTTGGTTGTCTTGCAGTCTGTACATGTACAGTGTATTTCTTCCAACTCATTCGGTGTAATATTATTATGGATCTTGGACAATTTCCAGTATAGCTGATAGGTGTTATTCATTTCAGTCTGGCAGTAGAGGTCAATCACATCAGACACGATGAAAAGCAATGTCATTGTAATTCAAGAATTTAAGACCTTTGGAATAGATTAAAATCCATTGTGTGGCATTGTTTATATCTATAGTTCCTCAGAAAGAAGATCATATCGAGGGTTCAGCGACACAAAGTCTTAACTCCACCCAACACTCCATTGAAGTCAATGGCTAGTGAAACATAGACTTATCTCCTTAAGGCCCAAGTGCTCAGTGACACATGAACCACTTTTTCTCAAAAATGGCCAAAATGGAGTTACGTCAAATCAAATCTTAAGATCAGTTTACCTTTGCATCCAGATCCCCTATGAGTCTGGTCCGTTCTGCTTTGAGTTGCTTATTGTGTGTCGCGATGACCTCTAGCCCATGACCCGCATCTCTTCCCTTCTTGTCTAACGCCTCCTTGGCCTTCTTCAAGTCCAGGTTCTCCTTCTCACTCTTGGCATAGCGGATGACCATGTTCTCTTTCTCCTTCACAGAGTCTTCGTACATACGCTTCACCTGAAGGTACAAAGGCAAGGGGAAGAGAAGATATTAAGACCGACGTGAATAGAATCATTTCCTATTGAAATAAATAAAAGATTGTCATGCTTATCAATCTTGTAAAGCATACATGTAGGAGTTGTGTTGAGGCTATCTCCCACCAACCATTCAATGAATCTGGATACAGACAAACAAATACAGGTAAAAAAAGGGGAAAATCCAAACAATTTAAGGTTCATGTAAACTACAGACAATTAAAAGACAATGATGTTTAAAATTAAACCAGTCATTTTTTTTTCCTAAATAGATAACATCTCGGCTTTAAAAAAAAGTATGGTTTCAAGGACTCCAGCTCATACCTTCAATCCTAGAATCAATGATTGAGAGAACTTAATTCTTCATTAATTCTGAAGAAATTAGAATAAACTGAGGTCTTTAAATTGAAATCTAAATGTATTCAAAGGAGCATGTACAGTAGTTGTATTTGCGCGTGTAGTAATCTTGTCCTTCAAATGTTGAATAAAAACAATAATTCCAGAGATGCATCTCGTTCAATTAAAGCAGGACTGCACTACTTGTAGCTACATGTACTTGCGTCCTCTAGCAAACAATGCCTATGATCCCCTTTAAAGTGAGAGCTAATTTGATGAGATAACCACCTGCCAGTGACCACACAGAGAGTTCTAATCCCTCCTGTCCAAACTGGTGCAGATAGGCTTTAAACACAGAGTCAATTCTTCAGATGAGTCACTTCCTATGGACTGAAATATATACAACCATGACCTACACATGTACAACTGACTTTTGAAAGGCTACATTATTTTATTTTAAAGGTAGGAAGAAAATGTCCCCTTGACAAAAAAATACACTGAATTTTCATGTTCATAACATATACTGCACATACATGTACAGTATACATGTACGTACAAAACAAGGTTTGAATTTCAATTAACTTAATTCTTCAATTTGGATTCAGGTGAAGCCATTTCCTCAATTTCCCATGATTCTGATTCATAAAAAGAGAATGACTCTAATCATCGGAGCTTGCGCTTTTTCTCTCACGAGGGAATTTGAAAATGAAAGTTATCATGTCCTGTGTTTGACAACAGCTACAATTTAATTTGAGAAAAAGTAACAGGAAAAAGGACAAACAACGAAAAAGAATAACCATTGTTTATACCTGGTCGACTCTTTGCACCATCTCATGTTGTAGTTGGTTGATAGCTTTCTTGGCAGCTGAATCATGTGATATTTGCCGATCCCTGGCAGCAGCAATCTCTTTCTTCCTTTGCTCCGCTTCTTTCTCAAGCTGATGGACAGAAAGTAAAATGAGAAAGAAATATATATTGATTTTTGTAAATATACCATTACTTTAATACTGCATGCATACAAACTGTACATGTACATGTACAGTACAGTATGCCTGTGACACATGTACCTGAAAATGTACTGTATGAGACAAGTAAAATGCACATGCATGACATGAATACTGTTTGTCTGATATTTTTTCCAGACATTATCAACATATATTCATCAATTTTATATTCCGATGCAGATCAATCAACTATGTAAATAGAATTACTTAATTATTTAACTACATACGTACATCATTGCTTTGAAAAGTAATTGTCACTGTTCTACCTCATCATGCATTCCCATATCATTATCATTGTACAGTTATTATAGAAATAATTAAATGCAGGAGGCTCGCATAATTTTTTTTTCTTTGTATCACTAGATACAACACTATTTAAGCAATGTTCTGCATGCCCCTCCATCAAATTCTCATCTAGAGAATTTATTAGTTACGAAAGTATGAAATTATTTCTGGAGTATCCGGACTCCACCACTGAGTGATCATGTTGATATTTTTAATATATCATTGCTTAATTAACCCTCTCTTAATTACTGAAAGTGAAACCAGATATTGCTATATTTGCAAACCTTGTTGATTCAAGACTTAAGTGATCCCTAATTGATACCTATATTAGCTAAATTAGATTTCCATGAAAGATCAATTTACAATGTTTCCATTACCACATGTAATATATTAGTCCACAGGCGTTTGTGAATACAATGTAGGCTTTATACACATACAGTAATATGGAGCATGTTATAGTTTATAGTGGATTGTGTGGAGCTGTATACTGTATGTGCATGCTAATTAAATTGCCACACCATATTTTTTGCATCTTACAATGTAAAGGTTATTTTACAAACAAATATGGTTCTTAAAGGTAAAGACCAGTATTGGAAACGCCCCAATTTCAAAAAATGAAATGCAAGCTCTTATTACCATATCATGTGAAAGAATATATTTTTGGAATAATACATGATGATAAATATGTTGACGGGAAACCGCCTACTAATTGATATATTTGGTAAATTAGTGGATCTCTCGCCTGCTGAGAGATACAAATGCATGTGTCGCGCACGTGTGTGTAGTCCCATATACATCTTTCTGTGTACAGTGATTCTAACTTTATGAAGACTTGGCCGAATTTCTTATCATTTTGATGATTCCAGAACCTTGCAGTACATCTATGCTAGATGATCAACCTTTTCTGATCGATTTCACAATGTTTCTTTCACAATGCAATCGCATGACCATAACTGGTCTTTAGCTTTAAACAAAACAAAATCAAAAACATATTTGATACAAAATCAATAACACATGAAGACAATTTTGCGCGAAAGGAATACAAATGGTCATGACCTGTACAGGTGTATGTTAAAAAACTGTACCAATACACACATGTACTTTATGTACATGTAGCAGGCCTGTAGTACTACTTCTACAACTATTATTTATTTGACTCATCATGCTCATAACCTGCTATTATACACTGTGCATGCAAACATGTTATATTGAGGTGACCTTGAGCATACAATAACAAATACAACTGGATTCTCAAGTTTAATCTAGCACTGGTTGCTTTAACATTTTATGTTGTCCAATCTTACATGTACATGTATATAAAGTAGAATGCACAGTTCTGAAAGTTGCTAAGTTGCTCTGATGTAAAATTTTAAAGAAAACCTCCAAATTTATATTACTAGGCTTATAAATGTTAAATAACATGAGCTTTACAGAGCAATCGCGGAACTCCAAATCATCAATGGGCATAATAATACAATGCCTTGTCTGGTCTAAAGATGAAATCATTGATTAACTTCAGTTATCCTTTTAACTAGTTCGCACCAATCTTTTGTGCAAACACTACAGTCACACACACACATCAGAATTTGATCTTTCCAAATATGCATCAACAGGCTATATTTACTTTGAAACAAAGCTAGCTGTACGGCATTCCAACGTGTGAAAGAAGACAAAGGTGTTGAGAATGATTCTCATAAGGCCAAATAACTAAAACAATGTGTTTCTCGTCCAGACTTTAAAAAAAAAAAGGAGGCGGCAGGGCATTACTATTTACTATATATTTTGCAATTTTTGCTATTTTTCCAAGATGAATGCTATGCTAATCAAGGCTGGCCAACCCTATTTATTCAAAGATATTGTGCTACATGTACATGAGAATTATGAAATATTTGGAATAATGAAAACAAGCTTATTTACATGTACTGTAATATGTTCATATACAATGTATGTCAAAATAGGCTAACATTGGCACTTGCTAAATGAATATTACTTGTAGAGTTTTACATTACAATACAGTTTATACACATACAGTACATGTACAGTGTATGGACATGAATGTACATATCAAATGTCATCTCTTTTTTATGTCAAGTGTCTTCAAGTAGAAATCAGGTGAAATTGAACACAGGGGTTTGAAGTGGACAGGCTTTTATTTCGTGTTATGTTACTGTTGTTTGTTTGTTTGATGCTTTTTTTTTTTTATTCCTTCTTCTTTAAAAAAAAAAAAAATCTATTTTGACCTACCTTCTTTTTAAGTTAATTGTGCTGTTAAACATGTACAGTACATACAGTGTAAATAATTAAACAAATTAACATACACTGTACTTATTATGTTTGTAATGATGTGCAGTTGCTTTTATTGTAATGTGTATTTTTTTCTTGTATTATGCACATGTACAGTAAAACCAGTAAAATAAGAATTCCTGAATGCATGGAAAATAAATGGCAATTCAATTCGATTAAAAAAAAACTTAAAAATTATTAAATTATAAATAAAAATAAAAATAGAATTAGAGCTGATCCCGTCCCCTGTACATGTATGTAAAACAATCATTTGTGAAGTTGTCATCTTTTAACACATTGATTTAACACATAAAACGAGGACAGGTTAACACCATCATACAGTACATCATAGTAGCTCATAGTACAAACTAAATTTACTGTCTACTGTATACAAACATGTACATGTACGTTCATATTGTGCATACAGTGTACATACATGTACATGTACATGTGTACACTGTAGGAACTGAGTACACACATCGGGCATGTGTACAAGATTTTGTATGATTATTGATCTGTTATTCTCTCTTTATTCATGGTCAGTACACCTCTGTACAGTGGGGCCTAGATGTATAACCTGCATAGACAGTCTGTACATGTACACTCTCTATTATTATGATGTCCATCACTACATGTATGCATCACTGTATAGTACAGTATCCCTTCGATACAAAACTTTACAGCACCGGTATCACAGTTAAAGGGTACAACTGTACATGTACATGTACCAATCACCAAAATTAGAAATTTGTTTACAGCTAGAATATGCAAATCAACCTCAATTTTTGTTATCCTGCATACCTGTTGAATACGAGGCCCTACACGTACAGTACAGAGCAAGGAATTTTAAACCTATTTTTAACACAGTGCACAAATAACACACAAAACCGAGATCATTTCCATTACTACTTAGGTTAAAACACACTGCACACTAACATATAATTATAAAATGGGTCTTTCCTTTTCTGAAGAAAAGGCAGAAATAGGGTTCTAAACATGTACATGTAGTAATCAGTGCATATTAAATACCCTATGGTATTAATTAACACAAAGTGGGGGACTTTGAACCCAAATACGAAAAGCAAATTCTCCCAGCATGACTAACAATTAACCCTCTTGGTTTATGTAGAGCTTCATACATGTACCGTCAACAATGTCTCCAAGTGCTTTACAGATTATCCCAGTCATTGGATTCAGGCTTGCCCACACACAATGTACACATACTTCCTGGGGAGCATTCCAGCAAGGCGCCATTTTACAGATGATCACAACGCTGAGCCAAACTACATGTACAACGACTCTCACATTCTACGGGTACCTAATTAACATCCGTGCAGAGAGAGTGGCAAAAGCGAATTAATGCCTTACCAAAGGACGCTAATGCAATATTGCAAGGCTGGAATTCAAACCCCTGACTTGAATTGAGAGTCAATGAATGAACCACTATACCGTAACAATGCATGCAGCTGTACTTGCCAGGTGGAAAATTGCCTTGATCTCCACAAACCGCAACATCCAACAAATGCTTTGGCTGGCAACAATTGCTCTGGTTTTATTACATCAAATGTACAGAGTTCGGGTTAGGGTGGCAAAAGCCTTCCAATAGGGTTTTAGGTTTAAAGGGATCGTTTAACAATGTTAAATCTGAGATACACGGCCCTACATGTACGTGCTATCGGTGTCTGTGATATGGTGTAATATTGAAGCCCTAAAAAAATTGCGCTTCAAAATGATCAAGAAGTGCCTCAAAAAAGTAAAAATTCTTAGAGTGACCGGTTTTACCATACTCGTTTTCCCCAATAGACTGTAGTGTTATGAAAACCGTCAGGCGAATGGTTTTCAAAATTTGTAATTCCAATCATAAATATCTTGATAATCAGACAGGCGATCGGCTTGTAAAAATCATGGGGTTCCTGACTGACCTAAATGTTTATAATTATCACTGTATCATGAGCTAAATCCAGAATTTTGTTTCAGAATCTGAGACAAAGTTACCGGATCCCTTTAACAGTTAGGATTAGGGTTATTAAAGGTTACATACATGTACAACCCTGTACATTGTACATGTAACTAGGTATAGTGTCGGGTCAATGATTTAACTTAGGAATTAGTTTGCAAAAGGTTTAGAGTACCGAAGTGTGACGTCATGGTTGCTGTTTCCAGACAATTTTGTGCTGAACAATGGCGTCGTGATCACACATGCCCCAAACACTAAATTTACCTTGCTCCAGGCCGATGCTTGAATTATTTCGGGGTGAACCTCATGCTTAAGCCCCGTCGTTAAGAATCAGTAAACCTGGACGAGCAAATATGACCTTAGCCCTTCGGTGCTCTATTCACCAAGGAGCTATTATCGCAGGAGCATGTGTGTGTCATCTGAATACATCCCATTGGGATGCCATTCATGGGCAGAGACAAATTTTGCTCCATTTGTATACAGTGTATAGTAAAGAAATCGCTGGTGAACAGCCTGTGCAGATAACTCACCTCCTGTATCCTGAGAAGGTGTACTTTCCTGACTGCCGCTGTCTCTTTCTTGATTTCCTTCGCCGCCTTTGCTCGTTCCTCTTTGAGACTGTCTTGTTGATCTGCTTTGGCATGAGCAGTGGCCTGGAGGCTTTGGGGAAAGGAAAGTAAAATACCAAAAACAAAAAAAAAGGGTTACTTCTCATTAATTTAAAGATGTTTGATTGAGTGTATGCATCCTGTGTCTGTCAATTTGTTACATTACATAATATTATATTAACCTACATGTATCTACCATGCTATATCTTGTATGAATCTGCATAACCAGAAAAAAGTAACGTCTTGCAAAGTGCCACACTGAGTTGACACTTGAGTATTGTATGACATCTCCACAGTTCTTCTTCTTTTCTCTCTCTCTCTCTCTCTCTCTCTCTCTCTTTGATGTTCTTTCAAAGTTCTTTGATTATCTTAGTTATGAGTTACAATCAAGATTTAAGTTTTTCTATCTATACTCTTGCCAAATGACATTAGTGCCGGGCTGGGATTTGAACCCTGTACCTTGTAATCTGCAACCGGGTGACTTATCCACTAGACCACAACACCTCTAATAAGGTGTTTTGATATGTAATTCCAAGGTTTTGCAACTTTAAAACTTTTTAGTACGATTAGATTTTAAAGTTACTATGTCCCTTTTGCAGCCAACATCAAATTCTGTAGAACTTTACAGGAATTATGAATATGTAATGTATGTCCTATCCATGTGAAATGTAAACGTTAGCAGTGTCCTAATATTCAAATTATGCAAGGAAACTTGTTTACATGCTAGACTTCACTATCAGACACTATCGAGTGACTGACTGGCTTTTTTTTCTTCTTTGGTAATAACATACATGTACATAAAACGAGCTGTAAAGGGTACATGAGCATTTGTCTACATGTACATTAACAACCAACTTCTTGTAATGGCCAAAATTAAACTGATTGAATCTTTGTGCAGCATAAAACGTATGATCATTCGGTACAATGGTCTGAAAATCAAACTATTATTTACTGGCTCTATAGATCTGAAGTCGATTTGACAACTAATAGTCGTTACTTTTCCACTTAAAGAAATTTTCAAGCCCCCTTTTTTTAAGGAAAGTTCTAAATTAGTATTATCTTTCAAATGCCGTTGGAATTTAACCTTTTCATTTTTTTGGCCTGCAAATGGGTAGTACCTTTAAAGGTGTAAACTGATTATGTAACTTTTATCAATTATTTCATCTTTACAATCTCCACAGAAATTATAGAAATAAGATGCAATTTGCTATTGAACAAAGCTACTACTACAGCATTAAAACAGGTACCGGTACATGTATGTGTATTACCTTTGTAATTCTGCTTCAGCATGACAGTACTTTTTCTTCCACTCTTCCACAAGTCTCCTCATCTTGATGATGTCATCATCCCCCTCAAAGCGCTCCTCCCCGTTAACCTGAGAACTACTCCTCGTCTCACTACTTGGAAGATCTTTGTGAACTGCAACAGCACCGACAGTTTTCTCTGGCACAACCTCATCCAGCTCAGCAGCTAATTCTGAGAGCAAATCATCCTCTACATCGACGGCAGTCTCGGAATCACTCTTAGTGACCCCTGGGCTGGTAGACGGATCCGACTTTGCCTGGAGCTCATTGGGAGCAAGGCTTGGCGGATGAAGAACTGGCTCTTTGTTTGTCTGAGGTGGGGTAGATTGGCAGTCGTCCGAGTGGGGGACGAGGATGCAACTTTCTACTACTGGCGAAGATTCAAGGGTGTCCTTGGTTTCTATGGTAACAGAGGAAGATGCTGTGACTTCTTTGGAATGTTGGATGTTGTTTTCAGATTTATCGCCACCATCTAGAGGTGGAAGTATCCTGTCATCAGCGGCTTTCACCCGATAACTGGCACTGCAATCTTCCTCCTCCGCCTCTTCCGCTATTTCTACGCTCCCTCCATCACTGCTAATTCTTTCACTGAAAACGGGATCTGACTGCAACAAGCCTTTTCTCTTAGTATCACAACTACTCAGGCTTGGATCACTTACAGGGTCAGAGATCTTAGATTGATCTTTACTCGCTTCATCACTTCCAACACTCACATCGTCATTAATGCCATTGCAGTTCATGTTGTTATTATTAGTGTGATTAGTTTCTACGTGTTCTGTCTCTTCTTTTTCAGAGTTTTCATTGGAAATTACTTTCTCTCCAAGATTGGCATGTTCACATATATTGCTTTCCGAATCATCTGTACCTTTTCCTTCGACAGATATTTCTGGACATTGAACATCTGGAAGTGTGTATTTAGCTTCTTCTGATGAATCTGGTTGTCCTTCCATTGTCATTTTGTCTGGCACCAAATTTGATTCTCCATTGTTGCTTTGGTTTGTGTTCTCTGTACATATACATGTACCATCCTCTCCTTCCAATACTGCTCTATCTGTTTCACTTTCCATGTTTAAAGTTTCACCATTTCCATCCTCTTCTAAAGGTAGGGGTGCCTCTGGCTCAGCAGAATCCATGGCAACCGTCTCTCTGACCTCACCGTTTTTCTTGTTATCGTCAGACACTCCCAAAGGTTTTTTATCGTTTGTCTCATCACCTGGAGGGTTTTGCTCCATCGGATCAGCCTCCTCCATGTCTCTGTACCTTGCACTTCAACTACTGTATGTGTGAAAATTACTGTTGTGTTGTAGAAACCTGCAGGTAAATAGAGAAAGATAAAAATTGTTGATGTAATTACATCTGAATTATTCATCAGTCAGACAAAATTTAATTGTAACTTTTTAAAGCAAAATGTGTTGCATGTGTTTTGCTATTACACACAATTTGTAATGTTGAGTTACTGTACATATCCAATCATCTTCATTTTCAATAACATTCAAACAAGAAAAGCAATTACATTTTAAACCTAAACAGTCTATAGCTAGATTAATATAAGATCAAGATCTCCTAATAATTGATTTGTGAATAATTGTGATGTTCACCTTATATTGTCTCTTGTAACTTTGACTTTGAAAATGAGATGCCTCAAAAGAAGAAAAGAAGAATAATAAAAAATAAATATTCACATTAAATGATTATCATCAATTGTAAATGTTACTGTTAGCTGTTAATTACTTAATCATTTTTTGAAGGAAGACGTCTTGCTGTAAGCCTGTATTTTTGGAAGAAACAATTTTTTTAAATGATATTTTTGTGACTAGATCTATATAAGTAAATCAAGATGTAGACCTATGTCTGTGTTTTGATTTAAAAGCAAGGAGACATTTCTTTCACTCTTTCACATTCATGAGTGATGAGTTTATGAATTATTAATATGACATACGAGTTACGATTGTCCATTAACTACTAATCTAGTTAATGGACAGCCAGCCATAGCATAGGTCATAATTCATAAACTTGTCACTCATAAAAGTGAAAGAGAGAAGAGAATTACATGTATGTCTTCTTGCAAAATCTTGCTTAATCAAAACACAAAAGGTCAAAGTCAAGCGTTTATTTTGATTTTGTTATGATGAATAATCAATTTAATGAACAATTTATTTTTAGATTTTATGATTTGCTGTAATCATGGTAGATCTAATCAGGCAGCCAGGACCCCAGGTAACTTGATGCATTATCCGATTTACAGTCAATCTACAGCACAGTCACTCACTCAGCCAGTAGCTCAAAAAGCAGCGCAAGCGGTTTGTGCCTCAAAAACCTAAATAGTAAATTGTCAATGTGCCATCAAATTGCACGGGCCGCAGGCATACAGCCATGCCAGCAGGCGCAGGGCCAGTAACATAACAGTCAGTGCAGTGGCCGGTGACAACTTTAACCGACTGACAGTTCACATCGCATCCACTACTACACTGTGCGAATGATGTGCAGTCAGCTCAGCTCAGATTCAGAAGAATGGTGTCGATCCAAACCATCAAGTTCATTCTCACCTCCACACTTTTTTGACAAAACATGAATTGTTCATCATGTCATGAACAAACGCCTTCCAAATAGACCCACCCCATCTCTGGGATTATGCGTACAAATGCAGCAGCTGTCGTGAACATGAACAATTAATTAGTCCGTGATAGGGTTTCAATGAACTCTATTTTTGGCCCAGCGAATGTCCCTTCGTCATCGATCACGTGACTACTTTACTTCCGTATTTACGTATTGCTATGTTTATGGTAAGCGAAATGTAATTCATCTAGATTTAGGGAATAGTGTCCCATAAATCAAGCTAGCTTATTATAGGGTCGGGCGGGCGGGAGGGAGTTCGGTTCTAGAAAAAAAAGAAAGGGGGAAGGGGCTCCAAAGGGCTACAATGGTTCAGACTTTAGCATGAAAGGCCAGCGATTTTCTTTCTTTCTTGCCGGGCAATGATAGCGATCATAAACGAATTGCTGCTACTATAAACAGGGAAGATCAAATTTTGCATCTCACCAATGCACTAGCTATCATGGCAAACTTACATTTTAATTTTGCGACAGAGCACAGAGACCGAGCAGGAACATTTGCATTCTGTGGTCTGGACACTTTTGAGAAGACAGGAAAATTTTATTTCATTTCTCAGTTCTCTCAGTAAGGTTAGGCAGCTTTAAATCATTAATTTATGTAGATACTCTTCGGCGATGATTCGTCTAAATAGACCAGTTCGAAGATGGCACATGATGACCCCCCCCCCCCCCCCAAGTATAATCCACATAAATTCTGGGATGACGTTCCCACTGATGATTTCACAGGAACAACATCCCTCTATCAAGAAAGAAAACAAATCGAACAGTCCTGTATTTAAACATTGTAATGGTAGGCCTATATACTATAAATGAAATGTAATTTTTTGTAATTAATATATTATCAGGGATGATCTGACGACTTTCTCATTACGTGGTCCAAGATACAGCTTCAGTATGCAGTTGTGTGTGATTGTTAGAAGATTCAGCGAGAAAGAAAAGCAAGCGAGCAAAAATTGTAAGATTTGTGAGGTTCAATTGAGACCGATTAGATCTTATTATTTAGATGAAATCTCCAATCATGATGGGGTTTTATTAAAGCATAACGAAAGAATGAATGAGACCTTCAAAAAGTTACGTAATAAGCTAGAACTATACAAGCGAGCACGTTTTGAGGAATTATGATCGAGAAAACATTGCTCAGCCGGTTTAGATTATGGGCCCATGTGTTAAGCATCGAGGCTATGGAGAATATATTGTTTCAGGGGAGATGAGGCATAATTATGTGCAACCACTCCTTCTTGACAGAACATCTTGCCATATATGCAATATACCAACTTATTGTTGTATTAACAGGACATCTATATATAACCCTACATGGTACATCATTTAAAAAAAAACTGGTATATTAACCTTAACCATAACCCTTTAATACCCTACATTCAAAACAGTATAAGTTAATTAAACTAATGAATAATGATTAAACCTTTGGTTTATTAGGAGGCCTCTCAGTTTCATCTGCCTGCAGACGTACGTATTATAAAAAGCGCGCAGTACTTCTGTTTTTTCAATCACGAAAATGTCTCACTGCTAAATACTTCCTCCAAAACGGATTTTTGAAATCTCTCATGAAGTCGACAAGTCTCATTTATTATCCCATTGCGTGCAGTGTTCCTGGCAGTGTTTATCCACCAATGCACTCGAAAACATGAATTATTTATATAATACTCTAAATTGATTAAACATCAAACTAAGACCATTATAGGGAGGTGAAATTAAAAATATTAATAGGCCTACCATGATATTTCTATGTACTGTCTTTATTCAGGATACAGCTATCAACATCCCTCACGTCATCCATATCTTATCTATCTGGTTCTTACTCTCTCTCTCTCCCCTCTCTCTTTCTCTCTCTCTGTCTCATTGTGTCTGCATGTCTACCTGTCCTTCTTAGCATCTGCCTTCTCTCTTTCGACTTTCTGTCCTGTGTATCTGTCGATCTCTGAGTCTCTCTTGCTCTTTCACCTCTATACGAGTCCTCTGTCCTTCGAAATCCCTCACGTCATCTCCCTCCAACCTTCACCCTTGGTCTTTTATTCTTCTTTTAATATCATTAATTATCTTGTCTTCTTTAATCAACATTTTCTCTTTTTTATATTCGTGGTCTTCTTCTTCTTCTCGTGGGTCTTCCTCTTATTGGAGGCCATTTTCTTCTACTTTCTTTTTTTCTCAGTTCAATTGCATGTATATTCATAAATGACAAATTTGATATTTGATATAAGTATTAGCACTCACTTTAATCGAGCTTCACCGTTGTTGTGTTTATTGTTTATTATCACTATATAGTGACGTTGTCAACTATGTATAGACCATTTCCTTTCAATTTTATTTCTCTTTTGTTTTTGTTGCATTTTAGCATTGCATATTGGCCTCGAATGTTGGAAAATGGGTTTTGAACAATTCTCGCTACCCTAAATAGGTACGAAAATCTCGAAATTCGCGAGACGAGGTAATTTTCACTCTCTCGGGTCGTCACTACAACTTCCGGTATAGAGTCCCATCCCGCTGGCGCTAGCGCCTGTGTTCGCTGTGCAGAGTTTTCACGCACGCTAAAATCGATGCCAATCAGTGTAATTTGTACAGATTATAATATGCAATGGAAAGCTTCGGGCAGAATTAGTGACTTTAGCACAAAAGGCCGTTAAACTCTACCGTGAAAGAGAGGGTTGTGATCACGAACGCCTGCACAGGAAGCTGTAATGTCGAAAAGCTATCCCATAATGCAATGCGCGTTTTCAGGATTTTCCCCGGATCTCGGCAGAATCGCTATTTGGGGTAGCGAGAATTATTGATACACATCACTATGCCTACATTATTATTTTTTGCGCTTTCTCATCACTGTATTCATAAGTTTATGATCACCTACTTATCCTATAAATCATAGTAATATTAAATTCGGTTTTCATCAATTATACTAAATAGAGGTGTTTATGCCATGGCTCATTGATTGGATAATCGTGATGATGTGTATGCACACTCGTCACAATGGATTTTATCATTGTAAACGTGCATTTTAATTTCATTTCACAGCAAGCAACAGCAAAGTAGGAGTGAAAGCTATCATGTAACCTTTTGTAACAAAACGCAAATATTTAAAATCCGAAAAAGTCATATTTGATTATTTTCTAAAAGTAATGGAGTCTGACCAATGCTGAGCACATAAATGCCTATAATATCACCACGAAAGCAGTATTACATAACCAACTATTTATACTATCAGAAGACTAGGAATAAATTTATGTTCAATTTAATTGAATAAATATTTCAAAAACTTATTGCACTTTACACGATACATACGTAATTATTGCATGGCTTTGTTTTCGTGTGATACAGGAATATATTGCTCTCGCTAAGACAATATTAGATTCATCTTTGACTCGTCCAATATTGTCATAGCTCGAGCAATTTGTTCTTGTATCACTCTCAAGGCCATCCAATATCATAAAATTATTTTTTATGTCAAACATAATACACAATATACCCGACTTGGCATAAACTAACGTCTCCGGTGAGAATACATACATGCTATGTAAAAAGAAAAGATGACAGTCCACTAAGCCAAGTCACATGCAAGGTGAAAGAACAATTTATTCATGAATCACTCTCCAGGCCATCCAATATCATATAATTATTTTTATGTCAAACATAATACACACTATATACCTGACTTGGCATAAACTAACGTCTACGGTAAGAATACATACATGCTATGTAAAAAGAAAAGACGACAGTCCACTAAGCCAAGTCACATGCAAGGTGAAAGAACAATGGAAAAGGTAATTCATGAATATTGCGGGGAATATTGTCATTTTACGTGTGTTTCTCATTTAAAAAATATCGTTTTAGATTTAGCAAATGTCATTATGCCCCCGTGGCTACGTGCCTGCATAATAGGAGTAGAGGGTCGCTATCCATTAAAGATACTATTTCCCTTTTGCAGCCAACATCAAATTATGTAGAACTTTGCAGGAATTATGAATATGTCATGTATGTGAAATGTCTGTGAAATTTAAACGTTAGCAGTGTCCTAATATTCAAATTATGCAAGGAAACCCGTTTGCTTGCTAGAATTCACTGTCAGACACTATTGAGCGATTGACTGGCCTTTTTTTCTTCTTTGGTAATAACATGCATAAAACGAGCTGTAAAGGGTACATGAGCATTTGTCTACGTCAATAACCCACTTCTTGTAATGGCCAAAATTAATCTGATTGAATCTTTGCGCAGCATAAAACGTATGACCATTCGGTACAATGGTCTGAAAATCGAGACTATTATTTACTGGCTCTATAGCTCTTTAATCCATTTGACCACTAATAGTCGTTATTTTCCCTTAAAGACATTTTCAAGGCCCATTCTTTTTAAGGGAAGTTCTGAAAAGTATTATCTTTCAAATGCCGTTGGAATTTAACCTTTTCATTTGTTGGCCTGCAAATGGGACATAGTACCTTTAAAGGAGCGGAGGTTCGCTATTCATAGTACAAAATGAGGGTCGCTATTCATAAAACAAGAAGAGGGTCGGTATTCATAATACGAAATGAGGGTCGGTATTCATAAAACGAAATGAGGGTCGCTATTCATAATACAAAATGAGGGTCGCCATTCATAACAGGAGATGAGGGTCGCTATTCATAATACGAAATGGGGTTCGCTATTCTTAAAACAAGAAGAGGATCGGTATTCATAATACAATATGAGGGTCGCAATACAATATGAGGGTCGTTATTCATAATAGGAGTAGAGGTGGCTATTCATAATACGAAATGAGGGTCGCTATTCATAAAGGAGCGGAGAGTTGCTATTCATAATACGAAATGAGGGTCGCTATTCATAATACGAAATGGGGTTCGCTATTCATAAAACAAGAAGAGGGTCGGTATTCATAATACAATATGAGAGTCGCTATTCATAATAGGAGTAGAGGGTAGCTATTTATAATACGAAATGAGGGTCGCTTTTCATAAAAGGAACGGATGGTCGCTTGAACACTTTCAGACCTATTTTGGGATGGGATGTACTAGCCCTCGTAGCAACAAGTGGGCAGAATATAATTATAAATACAGAACAAACACAGGAAAAACCGGAATGCAAACATAAATATGCATGAATGTTCAGAAAAGTTAAACATTAATTAATTTGAGAGATGATAAATTTAAAGCAAGCACAGAAAATGCATGTAATAGTTATTCAAGTCTATGTATACATGCATAACGGTTCACACACGAAATAAAAAGAATCATTTACTTTGAATAGCCAAACCAAAAGCAAAAAGAAAATACAATAAAGGGAACAAACCAAACGAAGAGTAAGGCTGAAGTGAGTTGTCATGAAACAAGATAGATAGAACAAACACATCATAATAACACATCATACACATTGAGAACAGGAATAGATTGTTTGTTTTTTGTTTTTGTTTAACCATGTTATAAATCTTGATGGAATTTAGTATTGTAAAAAGCATTATATAATATCCCATGCTCACTGACTCCCAACGAGTTTGAAATAGGGTCTTATTGTCGGGGTCATATCGTAGGAGAAGTTTGTAATCATAAAGCATATATATATCTTACTGTCATGTTGTTATTCTTTTTTCTTTTCTTTTTTTTTGTTTGAAAAGTAAAAGGAAAAAAAAAAAAACACATTGTAAAAAGTATTACCAGTATTATATTCCAGAAGAGACATGCAGTAGTAGGTTAATCTTTGTCATTCCTGGTTGTGAATAGCGACCCTCATTTTGTATTATGAATAGCGACCTTCATTTCGTATTATGAATAGCGACCCTCTTCGCCTATTATGAATAGTGACCCTCATTTTGTATTATGAATAGCGACCCTCATTTTGTATTATGAATAGCGACCCTCTTCGCCTATTATGAATAGTGACCCTCATTTTGTATTATGAATAACGACCCTCATTTCGTATTATGAATAGCGACCTTCTCCTCGTTCTATGAATAGCGACCCCCTTCTCATATGATGAATAGCGACCCTCTTCTTCGATTATAAATAATGCACCTTATGAATAATGACCCTAATGAATGGCGAACCTCATTTCCTGTCATGAATAGCGACCCTTTTCTAGTACTATGAATAGGAACCCTTATGAATATCGAACCCGTTTCTGATATTATGAATACCGACCATGTTCTTTCGGAATAGCGATCCTCATGAATAATGACCGTTATGAATAATGACCCTTTTATCAAATTATGAAAAGCGGTCCTTATGAATAGCGGACCTTACGTATATAGCGGTCCTTATGAATTGCGACATTGGCCCAATTCTACACCCTTTACATCCTGCAGAATTCGTACCGTATATAGATCTCAGTTACACCACGAAATGCAACGACAACGACAACGACGATGACGGTGAACAAATATCCTTACGTCACCCACGTTGGAGGGCTGCGCCTGCGCACTATATATTTGTGTGGACATAATTTTGGCTCAGCTCACAGAAAACGTACAGCCGATAACCGTACTACATGTATATTGTACCAAGGAGTTACCAGCATATAGGCTCGGGGCTCGAGAAAGGGACGAGAACTGTGAGAACACTAGATGTGCAGTGGAAAGACCTCCCAAACATATAATTTCTGCTTTATTGATGCCTGCACGGCTGCACCTACATCTATGCTAGCTAATTTGTTTGGATTCTTTCATCAATCTTTCATCATGAGGACCCGCATGAGGAAAGTAAGTAGAAAAGACATGCATGTTATACGACGGGCATTTTTATTATTGTTCTTGTATCTTTGTTTATATTCAATTTGCATCATTTATTAAAGAAAATTTGTTTAATACATTATATAAAAAAACTGGTACAGATACTTCAAAGAAAAACCCACAGAATTACCATTACGACTATGCACATTTTAAGAGGTACAGAAACTATATAGACAGGTTATGCATGATTTGAATAATATTCGAAGACAACGATCAGAATTATTGGAAATTATGTTGGATAAAAAAAGATAAGCGATCGATAAAATAATAATCCATTTACCAATGCTGTTAAAATATTCATGTGTTTTTTTTAATCAAGCGGAACTGTAGAAAACAAGAAAGGAATGGCCAATAAAGCTGACACTACAAGTGTACCGAGCACAAAACGAAAAATTATTGTTACACATTCTTTAGTGAAAAGGTTGATGATCAACGTTTAGGCGGGAATTTTGTAGATTGTTTAAATATCATCAAAATGGTCTTGATTATTCTTGTCGTTGGGTTGTTTTTGGGTTGTTATTGTTGTTGTTGGTGGGTTTTTTTATCTTTTTAATGAGCTAGTACATAAAATAAATACTTCCACGGGCAGTTCTTTATCCTGTTTCCTTATGGTGCAAGATGAAATTACGTTTATTGTCATGGCCTGGGTGATAATTGGAAAGTAAAGACAGGATATTTTGTTATATTTAAAATCAAAACAATATGACGTGTGTTGCATTGAGGATACAAATTCAAATTCAAATATTCAAATTTATTGTTCAATGATTGGAAATTCGTTTCATTTGCATTTCGGTACAAGATTACAGATTATAAACATCAATAAGATACATATGGATACAGAGTAGAACGTTTAAGTTGAACATAGGTAACAACAAATGCGATAGTTCAACGTGCAGACTAAAATTCGATTCATAATTCAGAGTAAGTAGTTAAATTCAATTCATAGTTCGGATTAAATTAAATTCGCAGTTCAGATTAAATACAATTCATAATTCAGATCGAATCCATTTCAAATCCCGATCACATTCAATTCGTAATTCAGATTAAAATGAAATTAAAAAAATCAGATCACATTCAATTTATAATTCAGACTAAGTAATTAGATTAAATTCATAATACGAATTTTGCATTACGAATATTCCCCGTTAGAGAATTTCCGAGTTTCTTCTCCTAAACTTTCAAACGAGCCTGGAGAAGGACCTCCCGTTCGTATCAGTTCCGAATCCATCGACTGACGCGTTAATAAGACCTGTTAACAGAGTCTGGCTGAAGAGAAAATGTGAAGGGGGGGAAAAATCGACGGCACATAAATTCATGCATATGTGTTTGAAAAATTAATTTTCAGCTTTAAAAAAAAATGTGTATAGACAGGTACTTTGTTTAAGAGATGGATTTATGTAATTCCATAATACTGGACAGATGTCAACATTTTTTGTGCGAAAGCTGTTCTTATTCGAGGAGTGTGGAAGTGCTTCGACTGTCTATAGTGGGATATGAATGTATCTCAATATTTTTTTGAAAAATGGAGGAAATCGGGAGAGAAAACTCGTTTTTAATTATAGTTGTGTTACCCCGGTCCGGGGGTAAATAATATAAATTCTGAAAAAAGAAATGAAGAGGCTGGTCAGAATTGGTGTTTACTGTGAAGCATCATGTATAGAACTCTTTAATAACATAAACAATAAACATGGAATAACATATTCCACTAATGAAACTAAATACAAGTAATACGGATTAAATATGAATATGAACACAGTTGTTCATGAACAACATTGGCATAGGCATCTGACTGCTTATCTTCTAATCTGAACACGGCTAACTGTAATTGTAGACCAAGGTGAACCAGTTAAAAGTAGGTTTGTGTCTTTTTACACAATAACCTTCTCCAATATCCCGACCTGTCTATAGTCGCAGTAACCCTAAAATCCCTTTCTAAAATAATACACAATTACTTTCTCAATTCTAGCAAAACTCTTCTCTATATGCAGGGACAAAAGTATAATAAAAGATACAAGGAATATATTCTAACAAAATTACACTCAATCTTCAAATATGATATTAACAGGTAAAGAGAGAAACCAGAAATGAGAGGGAGTAAAAGAGAGAGACATGAGAGAAAGAGAAAGAGAAAGAGAGAGAGACTAAAAATGCATAACAACTCATTTATCAAAGACCTGAATCTTGAACTATGAATCTAAATTCTCTCTTTTCTACGATATTCCCTCATTTGTCCAGTTGGTGGACTGCTGCTGACCACAAGTCATTAGTCATAGCATGTCACAGTTATCGCTGATAAAGACCAGAGAAACTTCTCCCAATGCACAGACTATTGAATTGGTATCAGGATTAACTTTACTACTACTCTTGTATAGTGGGGTATGAACTCGTCACTATACATCTCACATTAAGCATACACACATTATGAGGTGTGTTCACACTAGTTGGTTTAACCTGACTTAGTATGAATATATAAAGATTTACTACTTCTACTACATAATAATACGACCATTATATAATCTAAATGTTTCATAAACATAACTAACACCATACAATAGATACATGTCACGTAGATACATATGTTAAGCCTGCATTTCTCATGATCAGTCTGGTTTGATAAAGTACACTTAATTGGTTCTAATATCACTAATAACATTCACTTCATCATTAAACACGAGTTGCAGCACAACAATGTACTATATGAATTGAACAATAATAATTAACTTAGACAGACAGAATTGAAAGAGATTAAAAGTTGTAGTTTCTTGACTGAAAAAGGAAATGAAGAGGCTGGTCAGAATTGGTGTTTACTATGAAGCATCATGTATAGAACTGATGCTATCAGGCAGAAACCACTGACATGACCAACGCCTTCGATTTGGTTTCGTTTTGGGGGATAGGTAACAATATGAGTCACCACTTCTTGGAAACAGGGGTTGGGTTTCTGCATCTTTGCAGCAAGCAGTGAAGAATGTGCAAACTTTTTAGGATACTGGTGTGTAAAATATATGACAATACTAACAAGATATATGTATACAAAATTTTAAGGGAGGCCTATTTTCCAGGGCCTTACAGTTGGAAAATAAAGATACCGAGGTACCAAAAATATGAATCATCAATTTTAAGAATGTGTTAATGGTTAGTGTGGGGACGAAAGTAGACATTATGGATTAATTTTAATGCACGCTTCTGCAAAATTAATATTCGATCAATTAAAGTCTTACAAGGATTTCCCATTTCCCCATGCTAAAATCCCATAATTTAGGTAGAGTAAGATAAGGGTTATATGTGATGATAGAACCGGTAAATGAAATGTATTTTGAACATGATTTATGATACCAATGTTTCTTGATGATAAAGTACAGAAATAATTAATATGCACTTTCCATATCAATTTGCGATCAACATAAATTCCAATGAATTTAGTACTTTGAACAAATTCTAGTTCGATACCATTAGTTTGATTAGGACCAGAAATATGATCGATTGTGTTGCTAAATATCATATAATTTGTCTTTTTAATATAAATGATAGTTTTGTGGCATACATGTATCCAACTTTGAACCAAAACTTCTTCCTAGTTAATTGTATTTAGGAGAGTTTGTGAGTCATGACATGAGAGAAAAATATTAAAGTCATCAGCAATAATATGAGGATAAAATATTAGATTGAAATCATTTATATATAGTATGAAAAGAAGAGGGCCAAAAGAAGAGCCTTGAGGCACCCCACAGGTAATATTTTTAATTGATGACTGGAAGCAGGCGCGTACGCAGAGGGGGGGTTGGGGTTAAACCCCCCCCCCCTTGAGTTTTGTTTATGTGTATGTTTTGTGTGAACCCCCCTTTATTTTATTTTTATTTTATTTTTTTTGTGTAATTAAAAAAAAAAAAAAAAATTATGGCAATGGCTGGCCTAATATAGGTGACCTTACCCCCCCCCCCCCCACCGGAAAAAATGTTATTTTCAAATTTCGAGACCAAAAAAAAAGTGTCCCCCCCCCCCCCCCTCCCCCCGCTTATTCAGCGGTTGGCTGAGTCGTTGCGAAATTTTTGGCCCGATTTTAACCCCCCCCCCCCCCTTGAAAAAATCCTGCGTACGCCACTGACTGGAAGTTATTTACAGAGGTGTCTTGAGTTCTATCTGAAAGTTAGCTTCTAATCTACTCAAGAGCCTTCTTCCCTCTGTCACCGCAGTGAGACAGTTCATTAAGAAGGATTTTATGGTCACTAGTATCGAACGCCTTTGAGAAATCTAGAAATAAATCTATTGTGTGATAAGATTAATCAATTGCACAAACAATTTATTAATGAGTGTTAACTTAGCATGACTTGTGGATGTTTTTTTCTAAATCCTTATTGAACATCACTAAGTAAATTGTGTTGTGTAAGGAAATTTATAGTTCGTGAAGACACAAGTTTTTCTAATATTTAAAAAAAAAGAGGTAGGTCAAAATATTGGCCTATAATTTTCCTGTTCACGTGAGTCAACTTTTTTCAAATATAGGTATTACTTTAGCTCTTTTCATCAAAAAGGGGAACGTCACCACATATAACAGAGAGGTCAAATTTATGGGTTAGTGGGATGACTATTCCGGAACTAATATCTTTGCAGCAAGCAGTGAAGAATGTGCAAACTTTTTAAGATACTGGTGTGTAAAATATATGACAATACTAACAAGATATATGTATACAAAATTTTAAGGGAGGCCTATTTTCCAGGGCCTTACAGTTGGAAAATAAAGATACCGAGGTACCAAAAATATGAATCATCAATTTTAAGAATGTGTTAATGGTTAGTGTGGGGACGAAAGTAGACATTATGGATTAATTTTAATACACGCTTCTGCAAATTAATATTCGATCAATTAAAGTCTTACAAGGATTTCCCATTTCCCCATGCTACATATTACATATGGATGGAAAGATTTTCTCTTAAAAAACACGAATAATTTGCTGAGAAATCATATAGAT